CAGCAGGAACTGGCAGAGTTGACCAAGAGCGCCTAGCACAAGCTGGGGTCCAATGATGATGGTCAGTACAAACCCGTCAAATGGTGGTGGTCAGTAGTGGCAGAGATCAGCACCCAGCAGAGTTGACTGATAGGATATAGCATAATTTGGTGTCACAGTGGTGTGGCCAAGACCAACAAATGGCAAAACTGTATTTAGCACAATTTAGAGTCAAACAGCAGTGGCTGAGACCCAGCCATGAGCAGTCAACTAAGAGCATCCAGCACAATTTGGCACTGGACAGTGCTGGCTGCCAGTGGCTGAAACTAGCACTTGGCACACTTTGGCATCAAGTAGTGGCAGCTGCTAAGACCAGCAATCAATAGAGTCAACCAATGTATCTGGCACAATTTGGCACTCAGTACTGGTAGCTGGTAACAGCCAAGATCAGCAACTGCTAAAGTCAACTGACAGTGTCTGGCACAAGTCAGTGTGGAATGGGCAGCAGCTGGCAGTGACCAAGGCAAGAACTGGCAGAATCACCAATGGTATCTGGTACAATTCAGTGTCAGACAGTGGTGGCTGAGATCAGCACTGATAGCATTCAGCAGAGCTCAGTGTCAAACAGCAGTGGCTGGCAGCCGCTAAGACCAGCACCTGGCAGCTGACTGACAGAACCCAGCACAAGTTGGTGCCATATGGCAGTAGCCAGCAGAGGCACAAATTAGCAAACGGCAGAGTCGGCTGATGGTGTCTGGCACAAGCCAGTGTCACAAAGTAGTGGCACACATTTGCAACCGGCAAAGTTGACCAACACATGTCATCTGGCATAGCTGCTGGTGAAAAACGGCAGCCAGCAGCAGCACACACCAGCACCCAGCAGTCAGCAGATGATGCCTGGCACAAGCCAGCATCAAATGGCGGCAGTCAGAGCCGTAGAGACCAGTACCTGACAGAGGCAACTGACAACGCCCAGCACTAACTGGTGGGACCAGTGGCAGCAGAGATGCTGGCACAGCTAAGTCACGGTTTCTATCTGTGATAAGCAAGAGAACTCTCGGCTGGTGATATCTAGAGCAGTCAAATTCTGAGAGAATGAAAGCCGAACAAATTTGTTGGGGACTGCAAGGAGGTGGGAGTGGGGAGTGGCTGCTGCATGGGTACGGAGGTTCAATCTGGAAAGATGAAATCGGTCTGGATATGATGGCAATGATGGTTGCACAGGAATGTGTATAAACTAAACACTACTGAGCTAAGGACTTACAAACAGTTAAAATGGTAAATTTTCTGTAATGTCTATTTTGCCATAATTTCATTTTATTTATTTATTTAATTTTTGTTTTGTTTTTGAGTTAGGGTCTCATTGTGCAGTGCAGGCTGACCTTGAACTTGCTTTTAAAGCTCAGGCTGGCCTAAAATTTACAGTAATCCAACTTTAGCCTCCTGAATGCTGGGATCGCATCACTATGCCTGGCTAACATAATTTTAGTAAGTCAATTATGGTATGTAATGATAACATAAAAGAAACTAACTGTACAGACATGAAATATTTTACTCCAAGTATCTGAGACTCTGCAATGTGATAGAACTTGAAAGGTTCATACAGCACCAGGTTCAGTGCTCTCCTTTCAACAGCAGGAAACTTAGCCCCGAGCAGGGTCATAGTTTGTGACCATTAACATCTGAGTAAGGACTGGACTCCAATCTCTTTTCCCTACAACATGCAGTGCTGCTTTCTCCACTGTGAGTTTGGGTGAATGAATTCTATTTCTGCTGTGTGCTTCAGTTATAGATGATCATGGCTTTAAAGATAATTAATGACCCTGTAAGTCCCTCAAGGTTCTCTGAACATCACAAACTAGCAAGAAGCATTGCAGACCTGGTACGGTTCAATTCCATGTGTCCTTGCAAGTGCTCAAAAGGACGCTGGGGCCTAAAGACAAACAGCTCACTTTATGTAGTAACCAAGACGAGAATAAAGAGCAGAAAAGTGTCTCTTCCCCGTTTTTGGCATTAGTACTAAAGCATAACCTAAATTTAGGATCTAGCAACTCTGTTGCCATGCAGATACAGCTGAGATTAGGCTAAATCTCAGCTATGCATTCCCCAGCTTTTGTTAAAGCTTGAATTACAGCCACCACATGACTTGAGGCACAGTCTGTTTCAGTCCATGAACACTCCTTTGTTAACTTGCTGATTTCTATGATCCTGCTGGCTGGCTAAAGAGGTCTCTGATTACTTGATGACTTGGTTTCGAAGTCAAGAGAAGCATAGGCCCAGTCAAACTCCCCTGTCAGCTGGGAATCCTTCAAGGGCCACACTGCTCCGTAGTCTCACCTGTGCTCTCTCCCATGCTGAGCATGGGGAAATACACCTCCCTGATGGCCCACTTTTATTTGATTGGGCTCTGCTAACATAAAACTCCAGTTTCAGCAAGTGGTTTTGTCATCTACATCTTGAAGTAGAAATAAACCATGCCCAAACTGGTATTTTTCTGAGGTTACTGGCACTGCATCTAAAATGATTAGTTTTATATTTTAAAAGATCAGCTAGGTGTGGTGGTGTATTCCTGAAATCCCAGCTACTCATGAAGCTCAAGCAGGAGGATCTCAAATTTGAGGTCAGTCTGAGCAACTTGGCAAGACCATCCTAAGATTAAGAAAAAAAAAAAAAAAGGTGGGTATGTAGGTCAGCACTCTTCAGGGTTAAATGGTTAAATCCTTGGCACTGAGAAGGAAGAGGAGGAAAAATCTGAGGAAAATAGATACGACATTGGATTTCTGTAATAACATGAATATATCATAGTTTAGATAGTAAATCACAGAGCTACAAACTCATGAAAACATGTTTGCAGTGAGCTTACTTTATGTTCCAGTGGCCTAAGTCTCTAGACAGAAATCTAGTAACTGAGAACCCTAAAGCTTCTCCTAGATACACAGATCTTAATCACTGCACATCCTCTCTGATCACACACAAAAGGATAATGTGACCAGAATGAGTTCCTGGTAAAGTTGTGCTAATGAAACTGGAGACAGCATGTTAGAGCATTATTCTGCCGCTACTGGTGGAGAGAATGAGTTCTGTGCTTATGACACGCAAGCATCAGGAATTTTAAAATGCTGAACTGCTGCAGTCAGGCATGGCCAGTGTCTGAATCTGTACCTCCCAGAAGTTATCTGAGACAATACTTTTGACTCCAGCTAAAGCTGGCCAGCCAGACAGCCTGCAGCAAGCACTGATGAGATGATTCTATGTAGGCTGTGGGCAGAAGAGGTATTAGGAAAGACGGACAATGCAAACAGAGACAAGGTCATGTCCCTGGTCTGAGGAAGCTTAAAACTACTGAGAGCTAGCATTTAATGATGGCTGACCATGTGCCAATCCTGGTGAGTTTCTTTGTAAGGACTGTGACTGTGCTATGCTGTGATTGCATAGAGGAGAACCCCAATGCTACGAGGTTAAGTAACGAGGCTAAGGACAGATAGTTGCTATGCTGCAGACACAAGAATCACTTATTACCTTTGTGATTCCAGAGTTTATAACCGGAAAGACTACTCACTAACAAAGAGGATGAAACTGCTTACCAGAGGTCTTGCTGTTCCCAGACATCACACAGCGGTTCTGAGTTATCACTAGAGAGCACAGTGTGGTATGGTACATGCTAACTTCCCATCTTAGTGGGGCACCAGTGAGACCAGCACAGCTGAGGGACTGGGGTGAGGACCCATCACTAACTTGTGAGAAACGAGCTGCTCCATGTAGGCCCACTGAACAGCAGGGCAAGACAGGATTTGTGGAAATGTCTTCAATTATAAAATCTTATATGTTTTCTAAGTGTTGCCAGATAGAGGTCTAGAGAGGATTCATTTTAATGAATGTGAGAATCACTATGATTAGCACATTAATAGTCTATATCTAATTGATGAGTGGAAAGAATTAGGGAATAATTACTCTTTTCTTTCTAAAATAGCTTACACGACCCCCTCAATTCAAACCCCATCTTGCAGGCAGTCTCAGTGAGGTGACAGGAAAGCAGTGGCTGTGCTGCAGCACGTAACTCAGCGCCTCAGCAGCGAGTGATGCAAACTGAAGTGAGACCTCGCAAAGCTCAGAATTCAAGTGAGCAGAGGGCAGCCAACTAGGGGAGCTCCTTGGGGCGTGGTCAGGGCCCTCAGCACCGGGTAAGGCCCTCCCTCCTCTCTCTCCCCCTCTTTGGAGGTACTGAGGACTGAGACCCTGGCTACTCTTGCACTGAGCTTCATCCTTGGTCCTTTTAATTTCTTGCTTTGAGACAGGGTCTCAGTAAATTGCCCAGGATGGGCTGGATATTCGGACGTTCTTGCCTTTACCTGTCAAGTAGCAGGACTTACAGGCATGTACCTCCATGCTGAACTGCTTATATTCTTAAACAGCCCTACCTCAGCTGCTGTGGGTCTGACACAGTCAAAAGTCTTTGCTGCTTCCTGTCCAGTCCTCTCTGGCACCAGTCCTTGAAGAAACCTTTTATGACCAGCTAACGTAAAGCCACTACACCTTCATGTGTCTAGGACATTCTTCCATTTAACACTGTTTTACAGTCTTGGAATACTTATCTGAGGTTGAAATTATCTTCGAATGGATCTCTTAACTTGCACAGTATCTCTCTCTCTCTTTTTTTTTTTTTTGTCTGTTTCTTTTTTACTGGTACCAGGGATCGAACTCACAACCACACACTTGCACGGCAGGTGCTTATGCTGCTGAGCTAAATCCCCAACCCCAGTATCTGTCTCTTTATTCCAGAATGTAAGCATTCCAGAGGAGAAACCTTTTCCATCCTGCTGTGTGGACCCTGAACCTAGAACTCTGTATGGGACTCAGTAGATAACTTAACAGATTTTAAAAAATAGACAGATGAATGAATCAAGAAACTCACCAGGTCATTATTCTGTCTCCAACCAGGGGAAATCATTTTATTTCTCCAGGTCTTCCCTAGGACATGACAGAAGCTACAAGGCAAAGGCCCAATATGAATTTCATCTCACCTGTTCTGCTCCCACCATACTGATTGGCTTGCACTTGAAGAGGTGGGTGATGAATTTGGGAATGAAAGAGCTGTGGATATAAAAAGAAAATTAGGCTTATTGATTCTCTGGGAAAGAACTGCAGAATTTCTTAAAAAGGTACCATTCATATAAAATGAATAGCAATTCTCAGATGAAGAAGCAGAAAGATCATTAAATACATGAAAAAAATGTTCAGCATCATTGGTCATTTGAGATACGCAAATTAAAATAACACTGAAATTCCATCTTATTTCTGAAAGAATGGCTATTATCAAGAAATCAACAATGAATGCTGGAGGGGATGTGGGGAAAAAGGAATCTATCTCTACTATTGCTATGAATGTAGACTGGTGCAACCACTGGGGAAATTAGTGTAGAGATTATTCACAAAATTAAAACTAAAGGTTCCATTTGATCCAGCTATTTCCCTTCTTGGTATCTTCCCAAAAGAATTAAAAACACTGTACCACAGCAATATATGCACACCTATTTTTATTGTGGCACAGTTTGTAACAGTTAAATCTTGAAACAGCCCAAATGAATGGATACAAAAGATGCAGTTGCCTTCCCATGAGCAAATGGCAGCCATGGGGAACAGGAAGAGAATCAAGAAGCCAAACCACGCCTTCCTGTGAACCAGCTGGTGCATGGGCTGGGAGATAATAAGAGCAATGTGCCACTCCTGTCTCCTAAGCAACTGGCTGATTTGGAGGAACTCAGGCTGAGATGATAGCAACAGAAGTTAAAAAAAAACTTAATGAATGCTTGTATTGTATGACTGACTTTGCAGGCCTAAAGCTAGCAGTCTATTTGGAGGGTAACAATATGCATTACAGCAATTGTGGGGGATTCCCTTCAGTTACGTTTTTGAAATCCAATGTTTTGTTCCATTTTATTGTTTTATTCCTGTTTCTGATAAATTGAGCAACTATTTTGAAAATAATAACCATTGTTAAATTTCTATCATCTTGTTTTGAAAATCTATATTGCTATTGTTTTTTGTTGTTGTTTTGCTTTTGTTAATTTTTTTGTTTGCTTGTTGATTTTTCTAGTTTCTTCTCTTTAAAATTAAAAAAAGATTCTTTTTATATAATAGAGTACTGCTCTGTCATAAAGAATGATAAACTTGAGACATCTCTATGTAAATGGATATACTTTCAGACCATTTCTCTGTCTTTCTCTTTCTTTTTTTTTTTTTTTTGCTTTTTGAGACAGGGTCTCACTATGCAGTTCAGGCTGATCTTGAGCTCACTTTGTAGCCCAGGCTGGTCTCACACTTGCAACAATCCTCCTGTCTCAGACTCCGGAGTGCTGGGACTATAGACATTCACCACCATGCCTGGCTGTGAGACTGTACTCTTAAGTAAAATGAATCAGATACATGTTTAAACATCACATTGTTTTTCTGGTATGAGAGACTGAAAGGGTAAATAAAGACTAAAATATGTTACAGATATTGTGAAATAGAAGAAAATGTTCAAAAAGGAAGAGAACAAGGAAAGGGGGAGGGGCAAGAAAGGAACAGAAAAGGGGAAAAAAAGACAATAAAAGGGAAAAAAATGGAAACAAAGCTTTTGAGACAGGATCTTGCTACACAGTTCAGGGTGGCCTTGAACTCACCATGTAGCCCAGGCTGGCTTCAAATTCACAGCAATTCTCCTGCCCCAGCCTCCTAACTGCTGGGAATACAGACATGTGCCCTCATGCCTAGTTAAAGCTTTTGTAAATAAGGTGGAGAAGAGAGGCTGAAGGGATGGGAGATGAACTTCACTGCAAGGGTAGGTGAAGCCCCTCTTCTTCCTTAGGACATTGTTGCATGTTGCTCTAACCTCTGTAAGCAGCCATTCTACCATAAGTTTCAGGATTCTCCAAAGGCAGCAGAATAAACAACTTAGATCTTAATGATATTGCTGAATGCCCAAATCAACCACTCTCAGACCTGTCCTACCTCTGGACTTGCAGCTCTATGAAATTTAAAAACAAATCACCTGTATGAATTACTGGACATTATGGGTAGTCTAACATGCAGAAGGCCAAAACAAAAATAACACTTACCCTGACAACCACTTCCTTCTTCTTCCCCTTCAGCCCTGCTTACAACTTCCTCTCTTTTCCCATGCGTGAAGAAAATTCTAATCAGTTCCTCAAGTGTCATCAATGCCTGCCTCAAGTGCCACTTCTGGTCAGAGGTCACATACCCCCCTCACCTATATGCAGCAGAGAAAAAATGTCCAACCCCCAGTGTTGGGCTCCTTTCTATGTTCTCAGGCCACTTTTCATTTCCTTTTGCTTCTTTATTGCACTGGAAAACCCTAACCTTTTAGTGCCATGTGACTTGGGTTCCTGGGGATCAGCCCTGGTTTTGAACTCCCCTGCCTATGAGCCACCCTCTGGGACCTTCCTCTGGGACCTGCCTATTTGCCATTGCTAGCCTGCATCCAACACCGACCCACCTCATTTATCCTAGGAGAGTATCTTTCTGTCCAGGGTCTCCTGTCTCAGTTTCTCAGCCTATACCCGCTCTCATGCTCCCTAGACAGGGCTGCTGCCCCATGTCCCACGGTAGAGCTGTTCTCAGTCTTAGGAATTTGTGAGCTCACATGAGGGAACCTCTTGCTGTCCTCTGGACAAAGATAGCTCTCACATTCCTTAGGAAGGGCAGCCTAAGACAGAACTGTTATCCCTTGTCCTCTGGGGCCACACCCCCTCCCCTGCACCCTTGCTGATGGCCAATGAAAGTGGGTGTTGGGGCTTTCTGTCACACTCTCAAAACAGGCAATGGCTTATTTTGATAAGTATAGGGACTCAGCAGGTATAAGAGCCTACCTTGCAAGCATGCAGTCATGAGTTCATATCTTGATACCAAAAAAAAAAAAAAAAAACCAACCATAAGTGTGACCAGGATACCTCTTACACTCCTTGGACAGGCTTTGCTCTCACATCCCAAGGCAGAGTTGTTCTCTTGGCTCACCTCTAATTTGGTCACTATGTGGAATGCTATTTCCTGTCCCCCAAAAAACACACCTCTGGGCGCCTGGTTTGTAATCTTGGTGTTCTTGGTGTCAGGAAGGCCATAAAAACAAAAATCCTTCAAGATTTATGTAATTTTGGGGGCTAGGGATTTAGCACAGCAGCATAAGCACCTGCTTTGCAAGCAGGCAGTCATGAATTCCATCCCCGGTACCGATAAAAAAAAGAAAGAAAAGATTTATGCAATTTTGTCATGGTAACAGACAGCTGGTAGAAATCCCTTATATCTAGGCCCTTTTCATTCTGAGAACGTGTCCTTCTCTCATTCAGTCAAGTATGGCAGCCCAAGTACTTCTGGCTCACTCTACTCCACTAAGGTCTCTCCCTTCCTCCTCACCAGAGCCCTTAGATGATGTGCCTCCTATCTTCCCTCTCCCTTCCCCATATCCCCAAGCTAAACCCCTCAGCCTTCTCAACTTCAGGTTTCTGAGGCCCCTGCTTCACCCTCTTCCCTTTCCTCACCTCCAGTGGCCTCTAATTCTTCCCTTCCTCTCCCTAATCTCAGACTCCTCAATCCCCTCAACCTGAGCCATCTCTCCCATTGGACAGCTCCTCTTCTTTCCCTTCTGCATCACCATTTTCCCTGCCAGCTCACCACACTCAGTCTTGTGTGTTTCAGCCACCTAGCAATCCCATACCACATGATCCTCAGCAGCCATCTTGCTGCAACTCACATGGAGGACAGCTGCCATCTGTGGTCCTCAACCATGTGACAGTCCACCATCTTGTGACAGGTCATAGGGTAAATGGCCACCATCTTGCAGTCCCTCATCATGTATTCAGCAGCCATTTTGGTGCAGGTCGCACAATAACCAGTCATTATCTTGCACTTCCCTGTTGCATGGTGACAAGCGGCCATCTTATGGCTGATCACTCTGTAACTGCCCATAGACATCTGCTGGGTGGTTGGCCACTTGGTGGCCATGTACACCTCTCACTCCACAGCCTTCTAAGCCTCAATCACTATTCCCTTTTCTGGAACAGGCTGGTCCCAAGCGACTGTTTCATATTCATATTCCTTTTCCCTCACCGATTTATCTCAGATTAACCATAAATTAGGTACCTTTTCTGCTGACCCACAAAATTATAGTAGAGGGTTTAAATTTAAAACTAATTGTTATGATTTATATTTTAAGGATGCTTATGTGATTCTGAACACCACCCTCAGCTCATAAGGGCAAGCTTAATTATTGTAAGCAGCTTTTAAAAAAAGCTAACCATAAATATCAAACAAATACTACTAAAAATGACCCTGGGTCTGCTATTCTTATTTCAAGAGATCTTGGTTAAATTCTTACTGGTCTATTTATACTTATAAATATAAAAACTGTAAAAGTTATTATAATTCAATTTGACCAAATAAATTTGAGTACACTATGATTGTGTAAGGTATTTGTCTATTAAACTGTATATATATGTTTGTCATATCCACAAATAGCTGTTGTTTTGTATTTGAGCTCAATAATCTTTTCTCCTTTCCCCTTTCTTTTAATCAAGGTTTATTTGTGTTACAGATTTAAAAAGCACGTTTCTACCTGGGTTTCTAGCTGGTCAAACATTGGTTATATATATTATTGTTTATTATTGATTTGAATATCTTTTTTTTTTTATTGGTACCGGGGATCGAACTTACAACCACCTGCTTGCAAGGCAGGTTCTTATGCCGCTGAGCTAAATCCCCAGCCCCATTTGAATATCTCATTGTTTAAAAAAAATGAATGGGCTAAATGTTATGATTGAGTTTTCATAAGTCATCAAAAAATTACTAAGATAATTAAACAAAATTCCTTAGGGTTGGGATTGTTGGACAGGACCACAATTGATGAATAAGAAAGTGGCTGCCTGGTAACATTTTTAACCAGTTCTTATTAATTGCTGAGAGGCCCCAATAATCTCCATAGCCTTATGGGAGATATTCCAACTAAAAATATATTAAGGTTTTTGATTTAAAGATGTTAATACAAAAGTTTCATATGGCTAATAAGACAATTCAGTATTACTGATCTTATGGTATATTAA